TGACGTGGCGTCCACATGCGGTACATCCCGCGGATGTACTGGAAGCGCAGCTTCAATGTGTTCTTGACCAGCCACGTAGTCTTCTGATCATGCGAGATGCGCACCTTGAAGTTTCCTTTGAATTGCATGTAGGTCTGCGAGATCAGGTTGTAGGCAGCCGACTTGGCGTAGCTCACGTCATCAAGGAGGCGCTCCTCGATCTTGCCCGTGTGCTCGTTCAGCACTTGCATAAGCACTGTGCCCACAGTTGCGCGCTCGGTTGTGCCGTTGCCGAAGACTAGCTCTGCAACTGAGTCTTCGTGTAGCTCCGTAAACAAGGTAAGGTCGCTCGAGACGTTGGTCTGCGCGCCGCTATCCAACACCCACTCCACCATGTCCTGGTCCTTGTCCTTGTCCTTGTAGTTGAAGTTGTCACGCACCGCGAGTACATGCTCTTGTCCTTCAGCTTGAGTCGGTGCAGCCGACTTGGCTGTCTTCACAGTAACCACATCGATCATCCTGCGCGGCGGGTTGCTCGAGTTGTTGTTGTTGTTACTGTTGCCACGCTGGCGGCACTCAGGATCGCCACTCCAATGTCCTTGCTCTCCGCACGTGTTGCACTTCGTCTTCGCCTTTCGCTTGGCGATGTCATCCCTCGCACTGGATGAGCTCTTGCTCTTCTGCCGCTTGTTCCGCCCACGCGGCGATGAGCTGCGGCTGCGACGATTGTTGCGGCTGTTGTTGCCTCGTGCTTGGCTGCTGCTCGAGTTTCGACGTCCTCTTCCGTCGTTGTGTCCGTCGCCACGGCCACCAACAAATGCAACATCTCGCTGGACGGCACGTCCACCTCCACCACGTCCTTGCTGTAGCTCAGTCTCTTGGCGTGAGTGGTCAGCGAGTCGAAGGCGCTCGATCGCTTGCTCCCACGTAATGGACTCATCACGTCCAATACGTACTTCATGCTCGTTTACCACCGCTGGGTACACACCCACTGTATTCGACAATAGGATAGAGACGGCTTCCTGCTCAGGCAGCTGCTTGTTCGCGCGGCGAAGTCTCTGTTGGTAGTCGTCGATGTCACGAATGTAATCGTCAAGTCGTTCGTCACGTTGCAGGCGACGATTCAGCATATCTCGCTTGAGAAACACGCTGTTTACTCCAGGATGGTTATCAAAATGATCTTCCAGTGTTCGCCACAGTAGGATAGGATCAGCACGTTGAATAACACTTGTAAATCGCATCTGTAGCTCTTGACTAAGTCCCATCGTAAGTTCACGTTGAGCAACACGCAGTCGTTGCTTGAAACAGCCGCGCTGTCCTTCGTTACGTTGGTCTGCCATCGTTTCGCGCTCCATGATGGGGTCCAAGAGGTGTGCGACGTCGAGAATGGAGCAAATCTCGACGCGCCACGTCTGGTAGTTGGTATCGGTAAGTCTTGCGTTCAACTGCACGTGTCCGCTCTGGTTGTGCATCTGTGGTCTCCAACCATGGGTTCGTCCGTAGCGGAGTCGGTCCCGGCCTCGGTCTGGACTGGCTGCGCTGCAGCCTCGGACGTCCTTGGGTTTCTTGGCGGCTCGCTCTGACGCGTGCTGGCGTCGGCGGTAAGTTCCTCTGTGCTTGGGTTTCCTCGGCGGGGCCCGTACGGCGTCGGCACTCGCTGCGGTTGTGCTCGAGCCGCTGAGAATTCTTGAATGAGCTGCCTTTGTGGGCGTCGGGTAGATGCTTCCACTGGAATGTTCTGCACTTGCTGCTGATTGGTCAGTGTAGTCATAACGGTACCGAATTGGGCCAATAAGAGCTCGAGTTGTTGCTCAACTCGGGTTGATGACGCTTGTGACGTCGCATGTGTCTCGTCTGACGTTGTCTCGTCTGCTCTTGCAGGCAACTGCAACTCGTCGGACGCGCGCGAGCTCTGCGTACTCCGGACTGGGCTTCCAGCTCTCCTTCTTGGGCTCATAACCTGAGTGATGGTCGCTCCTCGGCTACGCCGAGTGGTGACCATTGTGATGAAGGAAGTAGTCGTAACAACAGTAAGTTGCAGGGACTGAAAGTCCAGCAGGGGAGAAAACCGAGTGCTGCTGCTTGCTCTTGACGGCGCAAGTTGTCGAGTGTGTAGCAGCACACGGAAAAACCCCGGTAACATATATTGGTAGGATTAGCAGTAGGATGGGGCTGGCGGCTCGCCAGCCAATGGTCCGTCGAAGTCCGGCTTCTGGACGCGAGCATCGCGTCCTGGAGGCACCTGAGCCTCAGGTTTGAGCTGGACGCAGTCCTGGCTCTTCCTCCACACTTAACAGCCCAGTCCTGCCCAGCCTTGTGTGCGTCGAGAACGCGTGTCCGGGCCGCGAGGCCATGCTTTGGTTCTGTTGGCATGATGCCAGAAGAAGAGGTTTTGATGCCGACCACCAGTTAGCTCTGCACTAAATCGCCATTGCTCTAAAGTCAAATTTTGAAAATAAAAATTAAAAATTTCTTTGTCACTTAAGTTACTTCACACCGCTTTGCTTTACACTGTCGCCGATTTGGACTGGCAAAGGTGTAGTTCATGACACTCTGGTAGATAATGGTAATGACTGGTTGGGGAAAGAATCGAGGCGAGCAAGCGAGTCCGTGAATAAACACCTTGAAGCAAAACTCGGTGAATAAGATGAGCTAATAAAACATTGTGTTAGCACGGCTTCTGCGAATGTGGAGACTAGCTTGGAAGCTAAAATGCGGTTGGCCTTTCAGTCGGCTCAAGCCAAGCATACGCAGAGAAATGACGAGCAGCTTGAGTCAGCGCACCAGCGTATCCGCCACGAAATTTACGGAGAAATGGCAGAGTCAGAGCTCCGACTGGAGAATAAATTGCAGGGTGTGATGTGCACTAATGCAGTAGAAACCACGAAGCGGCTAGACACAGCATTACATCGTCAGGATGAAGCCATTGAAGCCTTTGGGCGTAAATGCGAGCTCCTGGGCGTTAATGTGAAGGAAATGGAAGCTCGTTTGACAGTACTAGAGAGCAAATTAAGCACAGATGGTGATAACGAGCGCGATGGTTCCGGCGTTGAATCTCTGAAGAATCGACAAGTGGCGGAGGGGCGTTTGTCAATACCGCAGTATGGTAGCCGAGATGGTGATTCCTATAAGTGGATAGAGGGGTTGCTGCGAGGACTCGTTAAAGAGACTATCACTAGTGTTCGCACAATCACTCACAGCAGTGTGGCTAGCCAGAAAGTCGCTGCGCTGGCAGAAGAGAAAGATCAGGACATACGCGGGCAGCCCGAACCAAGTCACGTGCGTCGAGACGTTCTGGTGCAGAGGCACCATCGATAGTACTAAACAAAATTATCGCTCAGACGCAACGTGATGTCAAGTATAGAGCTGAAGAGGCTGCTCGTGCTCACAGCGCTCGAGCTCATCAACTACGTGGTAAGAAGTGATTTATGAAAAACCGAAGCACGTCACTAACGTTTTATCGTGTCTATTTGTGCAGTTAGCGCGGCGATGAATGCGAGTCGCACGCCGAGTTCGCAAGGCTAGGAACTGCTGAGGATACAATCGTCACAGCCCATCTAGGCTAGTACTCGCAAAAAGATCGGTAATCAAATCTTCTCCAAATTCATCGGGTACGATTTCAATTGGAAATGTCATACTTGCCGGTACATGTTCCCCAATCTCGCTTGAAGGAATTGCTTGACACTGAGCAGGGTCAACAAGCTTGCTGTTCCTGTTTAAGAAGGTTGCCATGTCAATGTTTTGCGGGGACAGTCTGGTGCGCTGCGAGGTTACCATACTCCCCGCCACACTGCAATCTCGCTAAGTGTGAGCTGAAGAGGCTGGAACAGCATAGAGAAGTTTGGCTGCTCTCGGTAGTATAAGATACTCTCCTGACTGCTCCATCTGTTTCCAAAAGTGCAAAACCGGCTCTTGTTTTCCCTCAATAACGCGTAGCTCGACAGGATCAAAAGTTGCTGCATTTCAAACGCGTACGCTGCTCCACGAATAGCTACATACTTAAAATATCGTGAGAAAAACCGTTGATCCAGCGCTGCACAAAGACGCATGCGCGTTAAAGTAGCAAGAGGAGTTAATTCACCAACGGTAATCCACTTAGGTTGCGCTTTTGTCGACATGTAATACTGCAGAGCTTTGTTAACATTTAACGTGTGTTACATGTTCAACCGAGCGAGATATAACTTGAGAAGGTCATCCACTTGGGTTTCCTTTTCCGCTTGGCAGACACGTTTGATTTAAGCGATTGGTGTCAAAAGTGATAGAATTAGTATCAAATTCAGCTGGTCGTTTTCAAGAAGAAATTTAGATGGAGGAACTCCTGCGCGCTCGGCTTGGCGTCGCCGCTCCTGATACCAGGCTACAATAGCTTCCCGTTTGTCGAGCACTCACCGAATGGAACTAGTGAGACTAAGAAAGCGAGCCGGGGCATAGTCAGTAGTTGTGTCGTGCCAGTGCTTGTGAGACTTCTACAAAGAGCTTCAAAGAGATCGCCACTTTTTTCGACAGTTCGAACTTGGTAAATAGTTTTCTTGATTCGAGAAATCAACCGAGTCAACTCAGGGTTACCTGCATCATCGTTCATCCCACACGCATCTTTCGTCGCCGCGTGTGCCATGTGTGCAATACACCATTCCCAACGCTGTTGCAGTGCGTTCACCAGCACGCTTCTCACGTCAGATCCTTTGTCACTAGTAGATGCGAAAAAAATGCTCGGTTTTCAGATTAAAGTCCTCCAGAATGTGGTCAACCCACGCGTGAAATGGGCCCTGGCTGCCGCGCTCTCGGTCATCATACGGCGGGTTAATTTCGAGTTCCAAGC